GCCAGGCACACGAGGCCCCCCCCCCTCCTCCGCGCATGCATGGTTGCGTAGAGAGAACTGGCCTCCCCCCCAAAATGGTGGACACATGAAAAGACGTGCCCTCCGCGCACACGCTAGGCTTAGGTCGGGCGTGTCCTCCCACGGGCAGATGCTGGAGGACAGGTAACTAATAGTTAAGACATGCTCAAGCATGCTCAAAACATCACAGCAACATCGTCCCCCCCACTATTGCTGTACTATTTCTGCGTGTTCCTCCTGTAGAGAGGGACACGCCAGACTTCACGCCAGGCGCATGGTGGGCCCCCCCTCCGCGCGCGCACTTGCACGCGTGGAGGCTCCGACGCGCCCACGTGGGGTCCCCCCCGTTTGGGGGGGCCGCGGGCACGTGGGAGCGCCTGCCCCGCGCGCACGCGCCAGGGTGCGTGTTGCCGCCCCCCTCCGCGCACGCGTGTCCTTCCTGCGGGGAGCCCTCCCTCGGGGCCGTGGACTTGTAGACAGGCGTGCCCCGCGCGCACGCGCCAGGCGCCTGCTGCCCCCCCCCCCCCTCGACGCACACATTGACGCGTGAAGAGTCCAGCGCGCCCAAGTTGGGTCCCCCGCTCGGGGCCGTGGACACGTGAGAACGCGTGCCCGGCTCGCACGCGCCAAGCGCATGTTGCCCCCCCCCCCTCCGCGAATGCATTTTCACGCGTAGAGAATCCGACGCGCCCAAGTTGGGTCCCCCCTTGGGGGCCGCGGACACGTGAAAACGTCCCCCGCGCGCACGCGTCTTGGTCCCCCCCCTCCGCGCACGTACACTTTCACTTGTGAAGAATTCAGCACGATGTTGGGTCCCTCGCCTGCGGCCTCGTCGTGGCCAGCCAAAGACACGTGAACACACCTGCCGAACGCACGCGTGCCGAGACTCATGTTGGAGACACGTATTCTTACTTATTAAATTCCGACGCCTGCTACTCGACACCCCTCTGGTGGAGGGCCGTTGGCCCGCGAGCTGAACGAGAATCCTAGGCCGGAGCCCTTACCTGGAAGAATCTGGATCTTGAGAATGAAATTGCGGTAGAAAATGACAAAACGCGTCGAAACTAGACAAGAAACTGCTCCAGAATAAAAAACCAAAACCGGAACCGAAAACAAAAACGGCGACGGAACCAGGAAAAAGGCGCCGGAAACGAGTACAAAAACGACGGCAAAACGAAAACAGAAAAAAAACGGCCCTGCCGCTTCCAAGAGCCACTAAGGGTCAGGCCCTGTTAACCAGCCTCGGTCTTACGGTTGGCGTTGGAAAGGTCCGCTACCGTGCCTCGACGCACGTAGCGGAGTGGCCCTAAGGCTCATCAAGCCCTGACAGGTAAAGGAGTCGCAAGGCTCTCAGAGGCCAGGCCCCCTAGTTTCCCAGGCACTCATGGGCGCTTCCACGGTGCTTCGCGCGTGGGCCTCTGGGACGGTCCCCTCGCCAGGAAGGCCCCCAAGACAGCCAAGGAAGCCCTGGGAGGCCGTCCAGACGGTCCAGCAGGGCCCCAAGTCGCCCCGAGATCCCTACCAGACGCCCAAGATGGCCTCAAGACGACGAAGAGGCCCCGAAGAAGCTCCAAGGGGGCCCCAAGAGCACCCCCACGAGGGGCCTGAAAGGCCCAAATGATATATTTTCTTTGGGCAACTGAAGGACTTCAGCCGTCTCGCTTCTTCAGCTCACAACGCTCCTGGAGCGCTCTTGGGAGCCTGCTTGGACCTGGCCGGGACCTGCCCGGGACCTGCCCGGGACCCGGAACTTGCCCGGGACCTCGCCGGGGTACTTTTCGTCCGGGGACCCCAGGGGCGGCCCCGCGCGCGCGAACTAGAAATATTGTTAACCAGTTGCCGGAGATCTTAGCACGCCCTTGGCCCAAGAAGCCCCTAATACCCCAGGACTCCCCAGGAGGCCCCTGGGCCCAAGAGGGGGAACACGAATGGAAATGTCGAGCCGTCCTCCCCAGGATGGCCCTAAGAGCCGCCCAGAGGCCCCCGAGGCCACCCGAAGACGCCCGGCCCCAGAGAGACCCCCAAGACGCCCCCAGAAGCACCCAAGGGCCCCCCAGAAGCCCCTGAGAGCCCGCACGACCCAAATGCACCCAAGACGGCCAAAGGTGGCCTCATGATGATCCAAGATGTCCCAAGAGGCCCCCAAGAGGCCTCCAAGACTGCTCCAGAGGTCTTCAAGAGGTATTCTAGGAAGGCCTGGAGAGACCAACACCATTGATCCTCCTCAGGTGTTTTAAAGATTTGGGCATCTGCTTCTTTTCGGCCTTCCGACGGTCCAAGACGCCCCAAGAGGCCCGGAAGATCGCCCCAAGAGAGGTCTCCAAGATGGCCCCATGACGGCGCAAGAGGCTCCCAAGACGGCCGCAAGAGGGCCCAAGACTGCCTACGAGACCTCCAAGACGCCCAAGTGGCCTCGAAGACGGCCCTGAAGCGCCTCAAGAGGGCCCCATGTCGGCCAAAAGAGGCCCCTAAGACGGCTTCCGACTTCCAACAGCATCAGACGGACAAGGAACTCCCTAAGGACGACCAAAGAGGCTCCCAGGAAGCCCCCGAAAGGCCCTCAAGAGGCCCAAGGAAGCGCACCAGCAAGACTGACCAGCCCGAAGGCGAGGGCAATCGTAGGGGACGCCCTCCGAAACAGAGGGAACCCTCGAGATCGGAATCGAGACCAGGCGAAGCCAATCATAGAAGAGCAAGAAATTGCAGAAACATGCACTTTGGGGGATCCGCGCGGACTTCTTGGATCCGCGCTGGGCCCCCCCCTCCCTGGCGCGCGGAGCGCGCCAGGGGCGGCGCTGGAGGCGCTGCCAGAAGGGCCTCAAGCGCCGATCCAAGAAACCCACGCAACTCCGACAGTAGTTGTGTTACGTAGTGTGCTATTTGAAACCATGATGGGGACGGGGACACAAACATGGCGCTGCCAGAAGGAACGCCGAATACGGAACGAACCCCCCTTTTTCAGAATCGAGTGATTCGTGCTTACGGAGCGGCCGATCCCCGTCTTGGAGGCGTTCCCTCGACGTTTCCCCCTCGTTTTGAAAGCGCCCCCTCCCCTCCCAAGACAACGCTTGGGTCGGGCATGTCCCCCGACTGTGGACGAAAAATCAAACATACTCCAAGAATGCCCCCGAGGATTCAGAAATTCATAGAGAAATCTCCCCCATACTTTTTTGGGGGACCATTTTTGAATATTTCGGCGGTGGGCAAACCTCCCTTTAGTAAACCTCCCCTTAGTGAAAACGGCCTGGGACCGAAACCGACAGACCTGGACCCGCAAAAATGACGGCCGCGATGCCCTCTCGGGAACCGAAAACAGCCAATTCCTTAATCGACGTGTCAGGGTAGGAGGAGGCCTGTCCATCTCCGAATATCGCTCCTGCAGAGGGACGGGCCCGACTTCATCCCCGAAGACAACGCCGATGGGCGCTCCCCGGCGAGCTCCTTGCGAGGGAGAGCGCAGGCAGACCCGAGGAACACCGAGCCCGAGCCGGACCTGCGCTCCGCGCCACGCCTGTCTGTTCCAGGCTGGCAACCTTAGGTTTAAGTCGGGCCCGTCCCTCTACAGAAGGAATCTTCAAAAATGATTAAAAAATAGTCTGGGGACTATTTCTTGAGTATTTTTTGACCATATGGGAATATTTGTTTGATATGTTTTATCTTTCGTCGAAAATCCCCCTGTATGGGGGACACGCCCGACTTAATTAACCGTAGGTCGGGCCTGTCCCCCCTACAGAGGGACCTTCGACGAAAAATAAAAACATACCCCAGAATTATTCAACATTTTTTGTAAATGCCCAAAGGATGGTCCCCATACTGTTTTTGACTGTCTTGAATATCCCTCCAGTAAAGGGACAGGCCCGACTTGAGTTTAGGTCGGGCATGTCCCCCTACTGGCGGATTTTCGACGAAAAATTCAAAGCAGTCAGAACAAAACTCAAGGATAGCCAACACATACTCAAACATCGTTCCCGGACAATTTTTTTCACTATCTTTCAAGATTCCTCCTGTACGGGAACAGGCCGACTGAACTGCATGTTCCTGGCTGGTAACCGGCAGATTCATGCCGTGCCGACCCCAGCGTTGGTTTTTGACACCGCAGGGATCGTTCAACCTTGAACGATCGGCCGCTGCCGCAACGTCCGATCGTTCAACATCGATCGATTCTGGGTCGCCGGCGGCGTTCAACCTTGAACGCCCGCGCTGGGGTCGCCGCGAGTCGACACGACGCAAACCTACCGTAACCGGCAGATTCGTGCCGTGCCGACTTCGGCGCTGCCTTCTGACACCGCGGGACTCCTTCAAAACCTTCCACGATCGGCCGTCTCCGCAGCGTCGGACCCTTCAACATCGACCGACTCTGAGTCGCCGGCGGCGTCTCACGCCGACCGCCGGCGGCGGGGTCGCCGCCGGTCGACACGACGCGAACCTGCACGTCGTTCACTTCTGATCCAGATTTCGTAATAAAAGGGAGGGGGTCTGGACCCTCCAAGACAAGCCATTTCAGACCTCCCCGGTGGGAGAACCCTCCAAAACATCGTCCCCAGACCCCCCAGGGCCCTCCAAGATAGCCTGGAAGAGACCCCCCCCCGAAATGAGACCCCCTCCCTTTTATTACGAAATCTGGAGTAATCGTGCTCATCTCTAACTGTGCTCGTTTCTGACTGTTCCTGGCCCCCTGTGGTGGCCAGGAAGAGGCCCAGGATAGAACAGCTAGGAATGGAAGGATCCTGGCACCCCCAAGAATCAGAGAACTTTCGAAGAATTCGAAACGAACATTTCGGCTATACGCAAGAGTGACCCTGGGTAAGAGTGACCTTTGGTGCGCGACTTTTGGGTGGCCGCGGGGGGGCCAAACCTGGGCTCGCAAGCAGCTGCTAATGACTGCTTCGTTTTCAGCTATTTGGGGACCCATCTGTGCCCGCACCAGAGGTCACTCCAGCGAAAGGTCACTCTTACGTCTAATCGAACAATGTGTACCGTAACCCTCCGTAGCCGGTGCACGCTCCGCTGCTCCGGTGCGCACGGTGCACCCCCCGCCGCCCGGCCGGCCCCGCGAGCGCGGCCGCTCTTTTTCCGAGCGACCGGGGGGGAGGGGCGCGAAAACCTATCGGGAGCGGCCAAGAGGGGGGTGCCCAAGAGGGGGGGGTGCAGATCATGGCCGGCGGCATGTGCGCGGCCCAGAGGGGGGGCCAGGGGCGTAATGGAACAAGAAGAGGCGCCATGAGGTCTGGGGAGCCATCATGGCCCCCGCCATGGTATCCACCCCCCACTGGTCATCACCCCCCTCTCTGCCGCCCCCGAACCTATCCGAGGGGGGCGCGCGCGGCTGGCGCGCGCCGGGGTCGCCCCGAGAGCACAGATCGACTGAAGAGGTGATGCACCCCGAAGTCCGAAGTACGTGCTGGTCGTCGAATCTGCGAGAAAGGCGTAAGAATGTTCGCAGACCTACGAGCATCATGCATCTTTGCTCGGAGGTTCTATACGACACAAAACACTGCTGGGGTGTATCAATTCTGTAGTCGATCTCCTACTCGAGCCCTGGGGCTTCGCAGGGCCCGAGGGCCAGTTCTGGGCGGAGCCGCTGCGAGGAAGCCTGGTCACTCAGCCGAGCCGGCGCACCAAGAAGAGACGAACGACGAAAAGAAAGGGTCTCTTACACGCTTGGCACGCTCGAAGTAGGTACGGAAAAAGTGGGTACGCTGCCCAACAACAGTTGCTGCCCAACACCGACAGCGGCCGCTGCTGGGCAAGCGGCCGTCTGTCTCAAATGGTCAACGTCCGCGGCGACACCGGCAGCGAGTCCTGTTGGAAGTGAACAGGAACTGCTGTTGGTCTTCGTACCGTACCCATTCTTTCCGTACTCACTTTGATCTTACCGATGCTGAACATCCTTTAACCGATCCCTATCTGCACTCGCGTGGCCTGGGCCCCACTGGCCAGTTTACCCTCCTAGATGGGGATATAGGCAGTTTCTGTCAGATTTCGAAGGGTATATCCCCATCTGGGGGGATGAGAGATGGTGGGGGTTTGGATGGGGATGGGGATGGCTATGTGGATGGGGATCGGTTAAACGATACTGAAATACGCGAGCTGGCATTACTGCGACCTTGCACGGTGGCTTACGCGGGCCGCCAGCGCGGCACGCTGCATTGGAGACGAGGGCGTTCACGCGCGAGCTTACGCGGGCAGCTTACACGCGAATTCCCGCGCAGTCGAACCCAGCTTGCTGCATTGCTCAACTAGAGAAACCGAGAGAGAGAGAGAGACAAGGAGAGAGAGGATAATCCGCCACCGTGCCGCCAGGCACTGAAGGAGTCTCTCGATATGGAGCATCCTAGAATGCTATAAACAAGAAGGACCAGGCCCACAACCCCCAACTCACGGGTGCGCTTTGGCGTTCCTGGGCGTTCTTGTAGCTTATCAAATCGAATATTTGTTCTAGAACTATGTTTGAGGATCGAAACTTACAAGATGGCATATGAAGGCCCCAATGCCTGGGGTGTGGCCCAAGGGAACAACATCACTGAAACACCTCAGGCGCCTGCTGGAAGATGCGAGCATCCTCGCTGTAAAGTCTGAAGAGTGCCTTCGCCATACACAACCCGAGATGCACCAAAACCATCAGCCCAAGACTGACCCCGAGCTCCCACGAGGAGCCCACGAGGCCCCAAGGAGGGCCCAAGGAGGAGCCCCACGGAGGAGCTCGTGTTGCCACCCGAAACAGCCACATGGCCCCCACGAGGCCTCTGCGAACCCGAAGGGGCCCACATGAGGCGCCCGAGTCGCGAGAGGCATCCCCAGACCCCCCGACGTCTTGTTTTGTTCACAATGTCGACCCTCAGAGGTCTGGACCCCTTCCCCAGGGACCGGTGAGGAGATGCCTGCTCCTCCTCCTCCTCCTCCTCCCCTCCCTCCTCCTCCTCCCTCCTCCTCCTCCTCCCTCCTCCTCCTCCTCCCTCCTCCTCTTCCTCCTTCAGCCTGAATCGTTCTTTGATACTCCCGAGGCCCGGTGAGGGCCCCCGGAGGCCGGAAATAGCGAAACACCTCCCGTCGTGTTTTTTTTCACAGCGCGAGGGGGTCTGGGTCCAGGAGGCCTTTGGTCCACGACGTGAGGGCTCGATGCGCCGAAGGCGGCCGGACAATGAGACTAGACGCGGGTGCGGCACAACGAGCGCGGCAGCCTGCTGGCCAAGATAGCGCCGGCAGGGCTCGGGGCTCGACGCCGTCGGGGTCACGCTGCCACCGACTCGACCGAGTGCTGGGCCTGCGGCGCACGCGACACTGCAGCTTCTCGGAAGAAGATGAGGGGGAGGAGGGGGAGGGCGAGGAGGAGGCAAAGGAGGGGGAGGAGGAGGCGGAGGAGGGGGAGGAGGAGGAGCAGGAGGGAGAGAAAAAGGAAGAGGAGGAGGAGGAGGAGGAGGAGGAGGAGGGGGAGGGGGAGGAGGAGGCGGAGGAGGGGAAGAAGGACGGGAGTGATGAGGCGGAGGAGGAGGGCCCCCTCACTCCTTGCACTCCCCCCTCCAAAGCTCGCGCGGGAGTGCCCTGCGCAGGGGGCAGAACGCAGGGGGCACTGTCAGTGTCCCCCCTCGCTCGCTTGTCCTTCAACCCGCCCCCCCCCCGGCCGACGCGCTGCGGAGAAACCGGCAAGAGCGCAGGTGGAGGTGCCGACATCAGGACCGTCTCGGGGCCTCTGGCGCCTGGGAACCTCGCAGCCACCCTTCTGGCGCCAAACAACCGAGATCCGCCAGACGGAGGATGCTGTCGGACTCCGCATGCGGGAGGGGGCAGGAGAAGGCCATCCAGTCACAGCGAATGCGGGCACCCCCTCGCACCTTGCCATCTTGCACCGACAGGCGGGCGAACTCCTGCTTCCCGTGGAGGGGGGGGGGGGTCGCTCGCTGCATGTGGTGATCACGTCAGGATGCATCCCGTGCGCCCAGTGGGGCAAGATGCCTCCCCCCCCAACGGAGGCCAAAGACTCGGGGACCTACTGACCGGGGTCAACCCAAACCCGCGTCAGTCAGGCATTACAGGATCCTGCAGGATACTCCAGGATCCTGCAGGATCCTGCACCCAAGCACCCAAGCCCCGGTCAGTCCAACCCTTGCTCTGCAGGATCCTGCAAGATCCTGCGCTCTGACTGACCGGCCGTGTGCAAGGACCCCTGTCTCTTGTTTGGAGGTCAGAAAAGGGGTGTGGCATCAAGGGGTATGGTGCCAATCGTGGAAATGGCGATGATATCTGCGATAAAAAACATTGCCAGGTTCCCCTTTAATGCGGGATGACGATTACTAAAGCAAATGGGAGGGAACGATTTAAAAACAAGTTTCTGCTATTTCGGCATAATTTTCTGCCTGGAGGAGAACGATGAAACAAATAGTTTTCCAGCCCGCGGCCGTTTTTTTCTAATCGTCATCCTGGGCGCCGCCGCGTGAACACGACCCCCGGTCATTTATTAATCGTCATCCTCCGTTACATAAAATTGGCTCCGCACCCCTTTCTACCACACCCCTTTCCTACCTCCAAATCTTGAGCCCCGAATGGCCCAGGGGGCGGGGGATCCGGGGGAGCCGACATGCCAAACGACACGCCATCGTGGGAACCCCTCGCCCGTGTTGCCGCCGAGAGAAACGCACCAGACCCCCGACAACAACAACAACAACAACAACAACAACAACAACAACAACAACAACAACAACAACAACAACAAACAACAACACCAACAACACCAACAACACCAACAACAACAACAACAACACTAACAACACGAACACCACTAACAAAACTAACAACAACAACAACAACAACAACAACAACAACAACAACAACAACAACAACAACAACAACAACAACAACAACAACAATCATTTTACCCGAACGCGTGGTGTTCTCCCCAGTGCCAGGGTTTTCATACGACACCAGGCAATACCCCCACTTCGTGGGGGGGCATTACAAGCTCTACCAAATATCCAAACGACTCTTCGCGACCACCCAAACCCAGCTTCCCGCCCTATGACGTTGGGACACTTCACTTCGTGGCGTGCGGACGACCGTGGCTACTACACTGGCGTGGGGTACACACCCACAGAACTTCTGGGGCAACCTATGGCGCAACCAGTAGGGGGACGTTTTATTCTCGGCGGCCGAGGGCGCAACCTATGACGCAACCAATAGGGGGGCGTTTTATTCTCGGCGGCCGAGGGCGCAACATATGGCGCAACCGCAAGGGATTCTGGCCCCTGGCAGGCGCGCGAACCCCGTTGCAAGAGCGTGCGAAAGTAGCTCGCGCGAGCTCATGTAACATAAATGTTGGAAAACCATTGGTTTTTTTTAGGATTCGGACAGCGCGCGCGGGTGGAAATTTTGAAAAGTCGTGCAGGTGTTTTTCGAGGACCTACGGTGCGATTCGTGTGATTTTATGATGCGCGGTGCTAAAATTCTTAAGAAACCCAATGGTTTTTGGAGATTTCGGCGTGCGCGCGCGAAGAAAAAACGAATGTGTCCCGCATGGTATTATTTGACAGGGATGATGGCCCTGGCAGGTGCGCAACCGTTGTCGCAGAAGTTCGAAAAAGTTGCTCGCAAAAGCCCGTTTGACAGAAATGTTTAAAAAGTGTTGGTTTCCTACGAATCCGCAAGAGCGCGCGGGATGAGATTTTGACATTTTTTTGTTGAAAAACCATTGGTTTTTTGATGTTTTTATGTTAAAATCGCTCCGAACACTAAGCTTTTGGAAGGATTTCGTCTTGCGCGCGCGAATGTCCACTTTACCTTATTTTTTGCAAGGGATTCTTGAAATTTGATTATATTAGAACAAGAAATGTCATTTTATAGTGTTTTTTGCAAGGGAAAACGGATTACAACAAAACAACCGGATCTTGATCACCTCGAATTACCTGAGGCTTCCTCACGAAAATGATGAAAACGTGGCTGCGGCCTAGGCGCGGCGGGGGGGGCGCGCACCAGGGGGCCCAACAATAATTATTCTTTAGAATTAATAATGTTCAACAACAACAACGGCAACAACGACAACAACAACAAAACACGGGAGGGGCAGCACGCTGGCGGGCTCCCGGCGGCGTGCCGCTTTGAAGGGACCCCGGGATACACCAATAAGCAGACACAGATCCCAAGATCCCCATATTTCCTGCTATGTTCTGGACTTCCGCCTACCCCTCCCACTTCCCATCTTTTTTTCATATTTTCGCGGGGATCGGCGATGCACTGTGTTTGTGTGTCTTTTACCCTCCTGACTCGTGGACAAGCACCCTGCTCCCCCTTAGGGGGGGCCGACCGCCTGAGAAGGGACGGACAGCGCGACCGCCAGCGAACGTGGCGGCAACTCCTCATATGGCGGGTTCGGCAAGGCAGAAAAATCTGGATCCAAACAACAAGCTGTCATATTTCGGGGTGCAGTGACCAAGGCGAAGCCAAGACGAGGGTAACATCGGGTGAGGAAAATTCGAGAATCTCGGAGATCCGGCGGCTCTGGAAGTTGTTTCGGGCACCGCGACCTTGTCAGACGGTTCCAAAACGGGGAACGCTCCAGAAGGCTCTGGAACGGATTTAACCTCGTCCGAACCCCGCCGAAGTGTTTACTTCCGCGAACTTCCGTCGGCGGAGGCGCCATCGTTTTGCGTCTGCCGCCTTCCGCCCGCCTTCCGCCGAGTGAGAAGTTCCAACTCCTTCGATCCCTCGATGGCGGGGCCCTGTCATGAGCGCTCCTCCTCCTCCTCCTCCTCCTCCTCCTCCTCCTCCTCGTTCGCCTCCTCCTCATTTCCTCTTGGCAGAAGACGGTCGGCGGCGCGCAGAGGGGGGTTAGGGGGAGGGGGACCTCTTAGACAGAAGCCTCTTTTTGGATGGCACCGCCCCCCCCCCCCTGCGCGTGGCTGAAAAGGAACGCAACCGCAGAACTTCACCTGACTCGGCCTCGATCGCCAGGCAAATCAGAAACACTACAAGGGCAGACCTGCGACAGGCACGCTCATGCAATGTGTTTCCGAATCTTCCTCATCAGTTTACTCCTCGTTCTCCTCCTCGTCCGCCTACTCCTCGTTCTCCTCCTCGTTATCCTCCTTTTCTCCTACGACTACGACTCCTACCACTACTACTACTACTACTACTACTACTACTACTACTACTACTACTACTACTACGACGACCATTACTACGACGACTACTAATACTACGACTACTACGACGACTACTACTACTACTACTACTACCACAACTACTACTACTACTACTACTACTACTACTACTACTACTACTACTACCACTACCACTACTACTACTACTACTACTACTAATAATAATAATAATAATACCTACTACTACTACCTACTACCTACTACCTACTACCTACTACCTACTACTACTACTACTACTAATACTACTACTACTACTACTACTACTACTACTACTACTACTATTACTACTACTACCGACCTACTACCTACTACCTACTACCTACCTGCTACTACTACTACTACTACTACTACTACTACTACTATTACTACTATTACTACTATTACTACTACTACTACTACTACTACTACTACTACTACTACTACTACTACCGCTACTACGAGGCGATGGACATCGCTCGAAACCTGCTGACATGTTTCCAGACCGCCCGCCCCACCTTGATCTCCTCATCCGCGCCGCGTAGCAGTGCTGTCAGCGACTTGTTCGACACCCCCGTGAATGTCACTGGACTCTCGACCAGCGCGGGCCCAGTCAGTTCCTGCAGCGCGCGGAGGCCCGTGGAGAGCTCCTCGCCTGGAACCAGCGGGGCACCTGCTGCGGCGCTCATCATGCCGCGGATGCACTCGTCGTCGAACCTGATTGCCCTACCCTCGCGGCGGGCATTACGCCCGGGCGGGCGGAGAGCGTTCTCGGCATTCTTCTTGTGGCGGTCCTTCTTCTCGGGTCCGAGCTCCGCTTCCATGATCGCCAGTGCGTCTTCTGATAGGTGGGGGCTGCCGCGCTGAATCGGGCGTGCGAGGGCCACTGTAATCTCCCGACCGTTCTGGGCGCTGTCCCGGCTGCGGAGGACCTCTCCGTCGCAGAACATGCAGTGCGACTCGCCGCGGTGGGTTTGCACGCGGGCTCTCTCGCCTGGGCGGTCATCGGCGTCGTAGTCGCACGGCTTGCCATCCCCTGCGCCGACGCGCCGCTTCCAGGAAGACCGCGTCCTTGTCGGCTTTGCCCCTCCCCAGGCGTGGCTCTGAAGCCGCTCCGCCCGGGCGTTGCCTGTCTGCGCTGGAGCTGGGTTGCGGGCCCGCTGCACCTGCACCGTCGCGTGCTCCGCCGTCTCGGGGGTCGATCAGCCCCGTGCCACCCTGGTCGACGAGCGCCGCGTCATTCTCGCGGAGGAGCACACCGTCGTGAAGGGCGCCTCCGGGGTCGATCGGCCACTCGAAGTCCGCGCCGTTCCTCGGAGCGCCCTTGCTCTCGTGCGTGCCCTGCGCCTGGTGCCCGTCGCGAGCTTGGTCTCGTTCGCGAGCAACGGGGCCTCCTTCGGCGTCGGCGTCGACGTCATCTGCCCCCCCGTCGCCCAGCTCGCCCCACCGCGAGCGCTTCCGGATGCTCCCATCACGCGAGTCATGTCCTGAGCTTGCGGCGCCCATGTCGAGGGGTGGTTTCAAGCTCGTCCGCGCAGCGCTGCAAGGCTGCGGTGACCTGGTGTTCTGGTGGAGCCCTTGCGGCTGCATGTGCGAGCCGGATAAGATCCAGCGCGGCACCTCAACGCCGCCGCTGCCCTCGTGCATCTCGAACATGACGCGGTACAACCTCGGGGGCGCCCTGTCGCCGAGGACGATCATGGGCAACAAGGTCGCGCTGTCCGCGGTGGACGGGAGCTTCTCGACGCGCCCGCCGATGGTGTCCGCCCAAATCGCGAGCATGTCCTCGTCGATTACGTCGTCTGGGCCTGCTGACCCCTGGATGCGCAGGTGCCCGACGGGGTCCTTGATTTCGATCTGGCCGTTCAGAACCTTGGCGTAGATGCGAAGCTCGTCTTCGCCGGGGTAGCCCGCTGCGCCCGCCTGCCGAAGCCGGACCACTTCTGCCGCGAGCCCCTCATCGCCCATGGCTCTCATCACCATCTCACGGACGACCTTGGCCTCGGCATTGTCCTGCCAAGCCTGGGCATGGTTGCGGCGGAAGCCGCCTTGGCCCCTGTCGCGCACCCAGTCGAACGTGTTGCGGGCTGCGATGGCGCAGTAAGTGAGGCAGAGGCCGTCAGGCGGCGCGGGAAGGTAGCGCCCCTCCTGCCGATAGATTCGCGACATGGGCGGGCTGGGCTCGCCATGCTGCGCGAGGGGGGCCGCCCTGGGCTCGTCGCGCATCGCTTGGATATCTGTGCCGTGGTCATCTCTGAGATAGCGGGGCTGCCGCGGCGCCTGTCGCCATGCTGCGGAAGAGCTTGCTGGGCGCCGCGCAATGACAAATCCAATCGCTCGACTCAGCTGACGGCTACGGAGAATACTCCGTCTAAGAAAAAACCCTCGGATGCGCCAGATATGTACCCCCTGAGGCCCGCCAGCGCGTTCGCGCAGATTCTGGCTCCTTGAACCCTTTGTGGCTGCGCGAGAATCGCCTGGTCCTGAGTGACAGTCCCGGGGCGAGGGGTCAACGGCGAGACCGCGCTGCGCTGGTTTTTACCACCTGACCCACGCCAGCTCCAGTCACTCCAGCCCACTCTGCAGCGCAATCACCTGTGCTCGCCGACATGGACGCCTTCGAGACTGATTCTCGTATCCTGACAACCCATTGTCATCCATGTGCCGTGGCATCCCAGATGTTCAAATTCTTCCAGGTAGCCCTGATCGCACGTGCAGCTGCGCACTAGTCGCACGGTGGATGCGGGGCACTCGGCCCGCTCGCTAGGGGGGGGGGGGGGCGGGGGGCGCGCGGCGCTCGCGCCTGTCCAGCGCGGCCACCAGTCTTAGCATGTCAGGCCACTTGCTCCACCCCCATCCGCTCCGCTCGCTCTTGCGCTCGCCTACGCACTCCGAGAGAGATTGACCGCGAAAACTAAGCCCGGTGGCCACGGGTCGCCCCCCTCAGTGCTGCGTGATGAGACCCCTTATAACCTGCCCGAGCACGCGCGCAGCTTTGGGCGCCCCTCGGCCCGCTGGGACTTACACCAACTAGTTTTGCTGAAAAAATATGCCAATGGCGCTGGCTCGGCGGCAAGGGCCACCCCGCGGCCCGCCAAAGAATTCCTGTCGATGGGGGGGGGCGGGGGGGGGCGGAGGGGCAGAAATTCCAGCTGCGCCACGGCGCGCACATACTTTCACGCCGGCTGGCTTTGCCCCGTGTTCAACCCGGCCTGGCCCCCGGCCTCGAAGCCGCAGCGGGCGCCGAGAAAGTTTGCGCCGTGCCCCCGTTCGTCCGTGAAAACCGAGGCTCGACGCTCTATCATGAAGTTCATGTCCACGCGCGCAACGCGCCCGGGGGCGTTGGGGGCACCCCCCATCCTAGGCGTCTAAAACTGGGCCTCCGGATTAGCACTCGAACGCGCGGGGGGGGGGGGGCGAGGCGCGTGCCCGACAGAAACTCGGCACCCCTTGCGCCGCTACCCGCTGCGTCGGAAGGGCGCGGGCAGGGCCTGCAAGCTGGTCGGGGGCGAAGGACAGGCGCATCATCTTGTTGGCCCGGGCGCCGCCGGCCGCCGCAGTCGGCTTGCCCTGCCAGCGGGGCGACGGCAGAAGCGGGTCGATCGGGCGGAGGTCAGGGCGGGGGAGAAGGGGGGCGGGCGGGGGGCGGCGGGCGGAGGCGTGAGCGGGGGGGGAAATGGCCAGGGGGTCGGGTGGGGCGGCTGAATGGTCGATCGAAGTCCCGATCGACATGCCTTCGTGATCAACCTCCAGGGCATAGCTCGAAGCCAATCATGCGAGGTTGCCCCAGGCCGGCCAGAAGCCCCCAAGGCACAGCGCTACGGATGCCAAGGCCCCGAGAAACTCCACGCGGAACGGTCCACATCGACTCTAGAAGCTACCCGCAGAAATGGTCAACTGCGAGAGAAGATCTCTCCGTGGGGCAGCCGCCTGTCATGCTGCAACGGCGTCTTCTCTCGTCGCGCGAAGATGGATGCGACCCGAGGCGAACGGCGGCGTGCACATATGCAATGTTCTGTCTACGGGGCCGGGCATTGTCGCGCTACGTCGACGGCCCCCTGGAGCGCCCCCGGGGGACCTCGCTGCGACGATCGCGACGACCACATCGACGACGACCACAACGACGAGGACGACGACGTATCCCTCGAGCGCTCCCAGGAGCCACGACGACGACGACGTCCGTTCCATCAAGCACTCCCAGGGAACAACGCCGACGGCGACCACGACGACGACGACGGCTCTCTCCAGCGCACCCAAGGAGCCACACGACGACGACAATGACGACGGCGACTATGACAGTTCCCTCGAGCGCTTCCAGACTGCCGCGACGACGACGACGTCCGTTCCGTCGAGCGCCCCCAGGGAACCACGGCGTCATCATCATCATCATCAGCAGCAGCATCATCAGCATCATCATCACCCTCACCAATGTCATCATAATCGACACCATCATCATCATCAACATCATCACCATCATCCTTTCAGGCCGCACTGGCGCCATTTAGGTCTGCCCGGGGCAGTTCCCCAAGATGTCTCGAGGGGGAAATCGCGCTTGGGAGTCTGACCGGGCTCGAACGAGCAAGCGCAGCCCAATCCACGAAGCTTGTCCGACATTGTCGGGCTGAGATCGCCAAAGAATGGCCGCGTCACAGCGTTCGATAACGCGACGAGACTGGCTTACGTTCGGGGGGCTGCGCGCAGGGCCGGGCGGTCAGGGGAGAGATTGGGTTGGTCAAGTTCGGACTGCTTCAAAGACGGAAGCCCGACCCCCCCCCCCCTCCACTCCTCGAATGGCGGTGGGCGGGCTGGAGCGAGAGAAACACGCGAGCGCGTTCCCTGAGTGTGTCATTGGCCGCTGCGCCGGCTCAGAAGGGCGGGGGGGGCGAGAGGGAGGAGGAGGGGGAAGAAGAGGCGGCGAAGCACCCGATGCAATGCAACCCAACGCACTGATCACATCTCGCGGCCATTCAAACTGACCCATTCGATCCCAAGTCTCTGAGATCACCGCGGATGCTGTCGACAATTGCACTCGGATCAGCAGGCCCCCAGACGCATTTTGTCAAGTCCCCTCCTCCTCCTCCTCCTCCTCCTCCTCCTCCTCCTTCCTGCTCCTCCTTCTCCTCCTCCTCCTCCTCCTCGCCGCCGGGCGGGCCTCTCGGCGTCGTCGGCGACGCCGGCGACGCTGGGCCCGCCCCCGCAGCGCCTCTCGGGCTTGGTCCCAGACGGACGGTCTCCACCGCCGAATAAACCGTGTATTGGATACCCCGACCCGCCCAAATTTTGCTCGAACGTATTCAGGTAGGAAACGCAGGATCTTCACTGGCTTCTTGGGAGCGTCTCGTGGGCTACTTGGAGGCGCCGCGAGGCCTTGCGGGGGCGCGGGCAAAAAGGGGACAGTCAACTGCTCGTCAAGTCTCCAACCTAACTCCTGCCGTTCTGAATGCACATCCTGAGGCTGTCTTCCTGGCCGCGTCGCCGCATTCGACAGCGCCCATCATCTTCATCATCATCAGCATCAACAAGATAACCATCCTCATCGACGCTATCGTCATCACCATCATCGTCATCATCATCATCATTATCATCATCCTCTCAGGCCGCACTGACGCCATGTTGGTCTGCCTCAGGCCGTCTTGGGGCTTTCTTGAGCAGTTCCACAGGATGTCTCGAGCGAGAAATCACGCCTGCGGAATCTGACCGGGCTCGAACGGGCAGGCGCAACTCAATCCACGAAGCCTGCCCGACATTGTCGGGCTGAGATCGTCAAAGAATGGCCGCGTCACAGCGTTCGACAAAGCGACGAGTGGCCGACGCTCGGAAGGCTGCGTGCAGGGCCGGGCGGTCAGGGGCGAGAGTGGGTTGGTCAAGTTCGGACTGCTTCAAAATCGGAAGCCCGACCCCCCCCCCCCCCCGCCCTTCGCACCTCGAGCGGCGGTGGGCGGGTTGGAGCGAAAGAAACGCGCGAGTGCGATCCTCGACGCGCTCTTGGCCACTGCAGCGGCTCAGAAGGGGGGGGGGGGGGGGGGGGGGGGCGGAGGGGGGGGGGGGGGGGGGGCGAAGCGCCCGCTGCAGTGCAACACAACGTGCTGATCACATCTCGCGGCCATTCAAACTGACCCATTCGACCCCGAGCCTCTGAGATCACTGCGGATGCTGTCGACAATTGCACTCGGATCAGCAGGCCCCCAAATGCATTCTGTCCACCGTCTGGCAGTCGCAACATCTCAAGTCAGCGGCCCACGAAAGCACAATGCCACATGCCGCAAACGAAACCAGCATCAAGCACGAGGCAGATGCCAGCGAAGGGGCTCCATGAACCACAGAGAGGACTCCGAGGCACCCCAGGAGAACCCCGAGAGAGCCCCAACCGAGAGAGCCTCAAGAGGGCCCCGATGAGACCCCGGGTGTCTGCCAGAGTTCTCGCCCTCGTACTCCTCGTCTTCGTCCTCCTCGTCCTCGCCCTCCTTCGCCCCCCCTCCTCCTCCCCCTCCTCCTCCTCCTCCTTCCTGCTCCTCCTTCTCCTCCTCCTCCTCCTCCTCCCTCCTCCTCTTCCCCCCCTCCTCCTCCTCCTGCCCCGTCCTCCTCTTCCTCCTCCAGCGGTCCCTCTGGCGACTTCGGCTTCGCCGCCGGGCGGGCCTGTCGGCGTCGTCGGCGACGGCGGCACCGCATGGCCCGCTCCTGCAGCGCCTCTCGGGCTTGGTCCCAGAGGACGGTCTCCACCGCCGAGTAAACCGTCTATTGGACACCCCGACCTGCCCAAATTTTGCTCGAACATATCAAGTAGGACATGCAGGATCCCCAGTTTGGCATGCGTGTGGCTACAACGTTGTGCTGACGCTAATCGGTGTTCCAGTTTGATATGCGATTGGCTACATCCGTTTACTGACGCGCATCTGTGTCCCAATTTGGTCTTTGTGGCTACAACAGTTTACTAACGCAAATTGGTCTCCCAGTCTTGTCTGCGCGTGGCTACAACAATGTACTTGCGCAAATCGGTGTCTCAATGTGGTTTGTGTGTGGCTGCAGCAGTTTACTGTCGCAAATCGGTGCCCCAGTTTGGTCTGCGTGTGGATACAACAGGTTTACTGACGCGAATCGGCGCCCCAGTTTGGTCTGCGTGTAGCTACAACCGTTGACTGGCGCAAATCGGTGTCCCAGTTTGGTCCGCGTGTGTCTACAACAGCTTACTG